CAGCGGGACCATGCCCCTAAAATGGCCATCAAGACAAAAAATGCTCATAATAGGAAAATATTCACTACACTCAGAAACAAAGTCACAAAGGAAATAAGAAATGCAAAGACACATTTCTTCATTAATGCAATACGACATGCTAGGGGCAATGCTAAGGAAGTATGGACAAACATAAAGAAATTAACTGGAAATAATTTCACAAATAGGAGCATCAGGGAGTTGCAAATTGATAATAATGTAACCTATGATCAAAATGAAATTGTAACTGCTCTTAACACCTATTTTATAGACTCTGTCAGAAACTTGTCTCTTAGCTCCACATCATGCCTCTAATGTCTCTGAATAGTGGTACTCCAGTCTTCACATTACATGAAATATCACAGATAAATGTTGACAGTATTATCTGTAATCTAAAAAACTCCAAGCCAAAGATGCGTTCGGTATGGACACTATGTTTGTGAAAGCCAATAAACAATCATTCATTGCTCCACTTGCCAGTATAATCAATCAGTCCATAAATGAAGGGGTTTTTCCTAATTCCTGGAAATCTGCAGTTATTACACCAGTTTTCAAATCGGGTAACCCAACATCAATTAGTAACTATAGGCCCATAAGCTTTTTACCAACAGTTTCCAAAATTGCTGAGAAATGGACTGCAGAACAACTCATTAAGCACGTGAACAATAGTCCATACACTCTAAATCCAATGCAATTTGACTTTAGAAAACATCATTTCACAGAGACAGCAGTTTGTTGTTTGTTTTTCTGGAAAATGTAAAATCAAAGATTGATGCAGGAGGAGTTATAGGAGCTGTGTTTTTAGATTTTAAAAAAAGCATTTGATACGGTAAATCATGAGACCTTGTTGACTAAGCTGTCTTACTTTAACATTTCATTAAGCAGTTTGAAATGGATGGAATCATATATTGCAGAAAGAAAACAATGTGTCAGAGTAGACAATGTAAAATCTGCAACTTGTGATAACACTGTTGGTGTGCCTCAAGGGTCGATTCTTGGGCCACTGTTATTCAGTCTATATATCAATGATCTACCAACTTGTTGTCCTCCAAATGTATCCTGTCAGATGTATGCAGATGACGCAGTGTTGTATGTACAGGCTAAAAACAAATGTCAGGCCGCACAAGATCTATCTGCTGCTATAGTTCATGTTTCAAATTGGCTACAATGTTCACGGTTACATCTTAATGCACCAAAAACTGTCTGCATGTTTTTCTCAAAAAAAGGAAATAATAACATATTACCTGATGTGTTTGTAAATGGGAACAAGCTTGAAGCGGTAGGTGAATTCAAATATCTTGGAATAATTATCAATTCACAACTATGCTTCAAGCAACAAGTAAAGAGAGCTGTGAACCAAACCAAATTCAACCTGTCTAACTTCAGATACATAAGAAACAACCTGACTACCGAATCAGCAAAATTATATTTCAGTGCTATGGCAATGACACATTTAACTTATTGCATAACAATTTGGGCACTGGCATGCAAGACCACGCTTAAATCAGCTGAAATTGTGTATAAACAGGCAATCAAAATTTTAGACAAAAAAACCAAAGCATACCACCATTGCAACATTTTGAGAAAACATGGTCTTCTGAGTTGGGGAAACACAATAAAACATGCAGATGGTGTCTTGGTGTACAAAATTCTTCATGGTCTGGCTCCGCCTCCGTTGGGTGAATTTATAAAAACGAACCCTATGAGGTCAACGAGAGCCGGCTCTAGAGGGGATTGTCAAGTCCCGCTCAGGAAAAGTGTTTTCGGACAGACAGTGTTTTCATATCGAGCGACCCAGACATGGAACACCATACCAAATACTATACGGTATTCGCCAACTCTTGCCTCATTCACTGGACATTTCAAAACACGGCTACTAGAGAATCAAATTTGCACTGATGCATCTTAAGAATTTTATTTTATTTATTATTATTATTGTTAATTTAATGTATTCTCTAATTGCTGTTCTGTGTATCTGTGCAACTGTACTATGGTACTGTTGGAGTACCATATTTGTATGTGCAAGTGTGTCAGGTGTTGTAGGTGACATTGTGCAATATGAATTGACACTTAGCAATTAGCACTTTACAAACTGCACTATGCACTTTACTGCGTTAGGGCATGTGCAATATACCGGGGTGTCTGCAATACACACTCAGCACTTTGGCACTCTCCACTTTAACTAGCACACCTGCACTTTGTAATCGGACTGAAATTTCTATGGTCGCCCAACTCTTTGCCTGTTGTGTCTTTTGTGGTTTACTATCTTGTCCTCTGTGTATTTGATTTTCTTTTGTTGGCATTATTGATTATGTGTTCGACACCAACCTGCCACTGGGACTGGAGATGGAAATTAGCCACCTGGCTATAATCTCGTGCATTTACATGTAAATGTCCATTCATGCATATTGTCCCATTTTCTGAAAAAATAAATAAATCTCAAATCTCAATACACCACTATAAGCATTGCTGTCCCACTTGTTGTTTTTTTTTTTGCACATACAATATTTACTTTGCACTATATATGTTCACTTTTTATCCACTGCTCATAATTATTATTATTAATATTATTATTATTATTATTCACTGCTGTTTCTTGTATTTTTTGTACTTTTTTGCATGCCTAGTTTTTTAAGTTTTTAAATATTGAAATCTTTAATCTGATTCTTTCCCCTTGACTGCTGTAACACTGGAATTTCTCAATTGTGGGATCAGTAAGGGTGTATCTTATCTTATCTTATCTTATCTTATCTTAATTCCCACTGTCTTTGTATGAAGATGGGTTTTCCATGGATTTGTTGTTTATTTCACAGATATGTCCTCCTGCTGTGGACATTTTGCCTGTTGGCAACTTAAGTAGATAATTTTCACTTTGAAAATAAGGATTATTTCAAAGACTTGTGTGTGAGGCAACAGGTCACAACAGCCTGTAAATCTGAAAAGCATCTCTATGATATCAAACTGAAGATATCAAAATATACAGTACAGGCCAAAAGTTTGGACACACCTTCTCATTCAATGCGTTTTCTTTATTTTCATGACTATTTACATTGTAGATTCTCACTGAAGGCATCAAAACTATGAATGAACACATGTGGAGTTATGTACTTAACAAAAAAAGGTGAAATAACTGAAAACATGTTTTATATTCTAGTTTCTTCAAAATAGCCACCCTTTGCTCTGATTACTGCTTTGCACACTCTTGGCATTCTCTCCATGAGCTTCAAGAGGTAGTCACCTGAAATGGTTTCCACTTCACAGGTGTGCCTTATCAGGGTTAATTAGTGGAATTTCTTGCTTTATCAATGGGGTTGGGACCATCAGTTGTGTTGTGCAGAAGTCAGGTTAATACACAGCTGACAGCCCTATTGGACAACTGTTAAAATTCATATTATGGCAAGAACCAATCAGCTAACTAAAGAAAAACGAGTGGCCATCATTACTTTAAGAAATGAAGGTCAGTCAGTCCGGAAAATTGCAAAAACTTTAAATGTGTCCCCAAGTGGAGTCGCAAAAACCATCAAGCGCTACAACCAAACTGGCACACATGAGGACCGACCCAGGAAAGGAAGACCAAGAGTCACCTCTGCTTCTGAGGATAAGTTCATCCGAGTCACCAGCCTCAGAAATGGCAAGTTAACAGCAGCTCAGATCAGAGACCAGATGAATGCCACACAGAGTTCTAGCAGCAGACCCATCTCTAGAACAACTGTTAAGAGGAGACTGCGCCAATCAGGCCTTCATGGTCAAATAGCTGCTAGGAAACCACTGCTAAGGAGAGGCAACAAGCAGAAGAGATTTGTTTGGGCCAAGAAACACAAGGAATGGACATTAGACCAGTGGAAATCTGTGCTTTGGTCTGATGAGTCCAAATTTGAGATCTTTGGTTCCAACCGCCGTGTCTTTGTGAGACGCAGAAAAGGTGAACGGATGGATTCCACATGCCTGGTTCCCACTGTGAAGCATGGAGGAGGAGGTGTGATGGTGTGGGGGTGTTTTGCTGGTGACACTGTTGGGGATTTATTCAAAATTGAAGGCACACTGAACCAGCATGGCTACCACAGCATCCTGCAGCGACATGCCATCCCATCCGGTTTGCGTTTAGTTGGACGATCATTTATTTTTCAACAGGACAATGACCCCAAACACACCTCCAGGCTGTGTAAGGGCTATTTGACCAAGAAGGAGAGTGATGGAGTGCTGCGGCAGATGACCTGGCCTCCACAGTCACCGGACCTGAACCCAATCCAGATGGTTTGGGGTGAGCTGGACTGCAGAGTGAAGGCAAAGGGGCCAACAAGTGCTAAACACCTCTGGGAACTCCTTCAAGACTGTTGGTAAACCATTTCAGGTGACTACCTCTTGAAGCTCATTGAGAGAATGCCAAGAGTGTGCAAAGCAGTAATCAGAGCAAAGGGTGGCTATTTTGAAGAAACTAGAATATAAAACATGTTTTCAGTTATTTCACCTTTTTTTGTTAAGTACATAACTCCACATGTGTTCATTCATAGTTTTGATGCCTTCAGTGAGAATCTACAATGTAAATAGTCATGAAAATAAAGAAAACGCATTGAATGATAAGGTGTGTCCAAACTTTTGGCCTGTACTGTATATGAAAATAACAAATGAAACTTGTGCATAAGGAGGTGAGTTTTAATTAGTTCAACTTGGCTATGTTTGATTATTTAAAGCACCTAGATATTTATCATCCAGGGCCCGGTTATTCAGAAAGTTTGATCTGAATCAGGATGATCCGGATTTGAAAATCCCATGTTTAACTATCCAGGATCTACTGATCTATTTTATTTTTGTTCTGGTTTTTAAAGACAACATTAGGTTGGATCACCCTGATCCAGATACAAACAATTCAAGATTATCTAATCTTTATAACCAGTGCTCTAAATGGGACTACACATCACAATGTAGGCAGCAAGCTCTTGAAAGACCAACAGGCAGAATAGCTACCTTGTTTACTGTATTAAGTGACCGTCACTGTCACACTGAATGTTTTGCTTTACTCCGTTCAAACTCTATATGGACAAGAAGGAACTATGTGGTGCAATACAAATATAACGTGGAATGAAACAGTTCAACTGATTAATTCATGTTTTTTATACAGACATGATTTTTCTAAACATTCTGCAAATCTTGACTGTAGTGAACTTTGTTTTCTGTTTTTGTTCAGACCCACAAACTGCAAAGCCTGGAGAGAACGTCCCTCTTCACTGTCATTGTGACGAAGATTGTGTCATCAGCCTATTGGAGTGGAGCAGAGCTGAGCTGAAGTCAGAACAGTTCGTCCTCTATTTCAGAAACAAGTTCCTTCAAAACTACCAGCTTCCATCTTATCGTGGTCGAGTGGAGCTGATGGATCCAGAGATGAAGAACGGAAACGCTTCTGTGATTCTGAAGAACGTCACCATCAACGACACCGGAACATACGAGTGTCGAATTGGAGGAAAAAAAACAAGACGCCCAAAGAGAAACACACCCGAAGTCATGAACACCATCAAGCTGAAGGTTACAGGTGAGTTTGTAGAGTTCAGACTCAGGTGAGTTTGTAGAATTCAGACTCAGGTGAGTTTGTAGAGCTCAGACTCAGGTGAGTTTGTAGAATTCAGACTCAGGTGAGTTTGTAGAGTTCAGACTCAGCTGAGTTTGTAGAGCTCAGACTCAGCTGAGTTTGTAGAGTTACAGCAATGTCCAGACCTGATTTTCAGGACATTATCCAGAGTTCATTTGAGAAAATGGCATCAGACTGAAGAGGAGCTTAATTTTCTTTTGTTCTTCACTCATCACCTGACAGCTGACAGCTCACACCTGTTTTATGCTCTGCAGAAGCAGGACCAGAACCAGGACCAGAAGCAGGAGCAGGACCAGGAGCAGGACCAGGAGCAGGAGGAGGAGGAGGACATTTGGGACTGTCAGTTGCACTGGTCTTCTGTGGGGTGATTGTCGTCGGTTTGTTGGGCTTCACAGTACGTAAGAAATTTATGAGGAAGAATTCAGAGCAGCCTGCTGCTGTTGCAGCTGGTGAACAAGACCCGCTGGAAAACTCAAATTCAAAGAAAGACGAGTGCCACTTAAATATCCCTCTGAATGAAATCTAAGACCAACTCACAATAACCAAAATGGACGGAAAAAAATGTGAGCCTGTTTCAGATGTCACTGAATTAGAGAATATCAGGAGGGTCAATGGTTACTGCACCAGTGCGTGCATTCCACCTCATACTGTCCCTAATATATTTATCTTAGGATATATATTATATATATGAATTATTACTGCTAATAATAAGACTTAGTACAGAATATTAAACAGCAAGAGGAAAGATATGAATATGTTGTATCCACTATAGATCCAATATATTCAGTATATAATGCAGTAAACAGGCTCACACAGTATCTAGAAGTACACTCACATATAAACAAGCCTGCATTGATCATTCCAACAGTCAAAGTCAGCAATCATTAGAACAGGAGTGAATTCTGTTGTTGACTTTCAAAAGGCCTTTGCTTTGATAAATAGAGATACACAAATGTATGGAAGAAGGCGTTGCCTGGTTTCACTCCAAAAGGTCAGTCAAACCATCAGTAAATACAATATTGATCTCAACTGGGCAACTGGGCAACTATGAAAGGCTGGTTTATACATTATAAGTACAAGGTTTATAAAGTAATCCAGACCTTGTTTCTCAGTTGCCTGCGTTGAGATCAATAATATGTTTACTGATGGTTTGATTCACCTTTTGCAGTAAAGCAGGTGAAACTGTAATTTTTGTGTATGAATTAGCTCATTAATGCAAATGCGTGCTCAATACTCAATAAGCTAAGTGTCATTATACGCTGATGATACTGTTTTACTCACTGAGTGTGATTTATAGCAGCTAAATGCAAATTTCCACTTTGTCATACAGGCACCAATTAAGAGTCCATCGATATAAAAAGCAGCTTAAAATGAACCAGTAATATTAATTATATGAGTGAATGTCGAGCACTACCAGGGCACACTGGTGACATCACTGCTGTGAAACTCAGCATGGAGTTCAGTGTCGGCTTAGCAAAGTAATGTAGTGCTCCAGGAATGATCCCTAAAACCTGGGAATGAGTGAGCATAGGGCTGGGTGATATGACCAAAATCTCATATCCCGATAACAATACTTTTTGGTGATTTTGGTGAGATGTGTGAAAAAAGGTCTGTGATCAACACAAGCTGAAGAGACTTTCATGTTTTGTTCCACGACATAAAATACATCAGTAAATACCTTACTGTGAGTTTAGAAGCTTTAATGTGTCTTATAAAACATCAATCAATCAATCAATCAATTTTATTTATAAAGCCCAATATCACAAATCACAATTTGCCTCACAGGGCTTTACAGCATACGACATCCCTCTGTCCTTATGACCATGCTAACGAGTGGCTAAATGAGACTACAGAACGTCATCAAGCCAAACACAGCTTTACAGTCTTGTTAAGGTGGCAACATCAAGTCATGCAACCGTAGTGTAGTTTGTTCATAGCCTAACATCAGCCCTTTACTTCTGGTGACTGCATTTAGGCTTCAGAAATCATAAAGTGGAATTCATTAGTGACGATTATCTCGCTTAAGTATCATGTGAGTATCATAAACGTTTGTTTGTTACAGAGTTTATTTTCTGCAATAATCCAAAATCTCATGGGAAAAAAACCCCACTTGCTTTTTTTAGAGGGAACCAGTGCACGCTAAGAGAAAAACTTCAACACTGGATGGACGATCGGGCTAGGTGTAGGGCGACTCAGTGCACGAACCTAGTTGTATTCCATACAAGAAAGTGCTTCATATAAGATGGTAAAAGATTAAACCCTCGGCCTTCAGCTGCCGTATATTATGGAACATGGCTGACGGGGGAGAATCTCCGTCCAAGAGGGGAACAGATTGGAACAAGTCTCAAAAAGTGAGATCTTAAATGTCCGCTAATTTCATGTAGCTCTGGTATTTAACCCCAGGTAAAAGAGCTAATTAATCCAGGACTGTTTCTGAAGTGTAAATACTCAGGTTTGGTGATGTTGTGTCTTTTTCCTCTCAGTCCACTCAGTCTGGACGCCGTACTGAGCAGCACTGAACACCCAGTGTTCTCAATAGACTCTTAATCTGATAACTAAATCAGTAAGTAATTTGGCACCTGAAACATCAGACGTCTTAAACATTCCAAAAATGATGAATAAATCCATCTGACAAACCCAGATGTTGCAAAAATAGAGTCTCCATGTTGTGAAAATGCAGGAATCAATCCATCAGATATTCATTTCAGACAGGTTGATTATGTTAAGATATCTGCATCCAATAACCATAAATCAGTGGCCATGTTTAAAAATAAAAATGGCAGCCATGTTGGATTTTTGGTAAATTTCTTAATGTGCAGTTTAAAGATGAATCACAGGCTGCATTTCATGCTCATATCTCCATCTTAACAATTTTGCAAGACTGTGTGACAATATGTTAATGAATCTTAATTTGTGTTGTTATTGATATTAAACCAGAGCAGAGCACAGATGAGGTCAGTAAGAGGGCCACACACAGAATTAGTTTTGGCTCTGTCTCTTTTGAACATGTTGAAAAACTCATTATGTAAGAGATTTATTTTTTATGAGTATTTTTGTTACAGTATTGTGGTGTACAGGAGATCTCAGTTTGTTAATGTGTCTAAGTGAATGTTGTTTCCAAACCTTTGAAAAGAAGCTGAAATGTACTTTTAAATTAGTTTTAGCTCTTCAGCACTAAGTAGTGCTGTGACCAGCTCACTCTCTGTCCACTGTTGGCACTTTTACTTTAATATTTGCACTGTATAAAACTGCAGCTACAAATGTTAATGCACTCAGTTTATTATGTGTGATTATAATTACTGATCAATTCAGCATGATTTTAACCTGGTTATATACTGTTGACTTGTTTAATCAGTGTCAGTGAACACATGATATTAAACTGTTTGTCTTTCAAATGTTTGCTTAATAAAGGATAAACCTGATAATGTAGCTGTGTGATGAATGTGCTGCAGTGAAAGCATAAAGTAACATGACAGAGAAAAACTCAGTAAAGTAAAAGAACCTTATCTTTCTACTCAACAACAGAACAGAACGTGAGTAAAGTCACTGAGGTAAATTTCCACCCATGTTTATCAGAAACCGTTGACGCAGGTCTCATGTTGCCTGGAATTAAAAGCAGCTCAACCGGACCAACACACCTGAGCTTTGTGTCAGGTAACCGCCCAGGTAGGAACAAACACAGATTGACCTGAGTCAAGTTCACACTGACATTGGTACTGCTGCTGCATGAAAAAAACAGCCCCATAGTTCAATCTAATCAGATTCAGTCACAGTCAAATGATCATGTTTTAAAAACAGAATAATCCAGTCTGACAACTGTCTCATTTTTTTGTTTGCTTTTGAACAAAATCCTGTTCCTGGAACAGATCTCACCAAGAGCATTCAAGTCAATAAAACCTATTAAAAATATTATTGAACTAATATCTCAGTGGCAGCCACAGCCATGGCCAGATACATTATGTTTTTGGGTCATAAACATAAATTTATTTTTATTTATTATTTTTTCAAATTTGGCACAAACGTTCACTGGTGGCCAGGGGTCATTGTGACCTGGCATGCGTCTCATTCTTGTGAACACTTTATTTTAAGAACACCTTGAGTGACTTTTCTTATAGTTGGCACAAACGTCCATTTTAAATCAAGCTTAAAATGATGAGATTTTGCAGGTCAAAGGTCATTGTGACCCTGGGTCTGCCTCATTCTCATGAATGCAATATCTTAAGAACACTGAGGGAATTTCCTCAAATGTGGCACAAACGTCCACTTGGGCTTAACGATTAACTTAATAGAATCTGGTGGTCAAGGTGACTGTGACTGTGTCCATCACATTCTCTAGAACGTGACATCTCAAGAATGCCATGAGGGAATTTTTAAAAATTTCGGCACAAACATCTACTTATGGCCAAAATACATGGGTCACGGACGCGGTGTGACATGTCAACCATTATAATCAACTGAAGCTACTACACTGAACATGGAAGCTGTACTGCTCAATTCAATTTTTGCATGGCTGAGCTATTTTTCCCTGTGAAATGCCAAAAATAAATACCTAGTTGATCCAGAGGCAATGTGAAGCAGCAGAGCAACCCTGTGTGTATTTTTAATTTCAAATTTGGCACAACCGTCCGTCTGAGCTCAAGAATAAACTGATTAGAATTTAGCAGTCAAAGGTCAAAGGTCACTGTGACCTCACAATACATTTTCTTGTCCATAACTGAAGAATTCATTCACTAATTCTGACCAAACTTGACACAAATGTCTAACAGGATAAAATAATGAAGGTCAAAGGTCAGCTTGACTGTGACATCATCATGTTTTAACGTCATATCTCAGGAACAGAAGGGGAGACATTTGGTCAGATACTGAATTGGTGACTCTAATCTTGAATCTGTGCTGATTGTATAGATCTTCTGTGTGTGAAGCATCCATGTTTTCACTGACATGGATGGAGACTGTCAGAGACATTTCACCGGATCACAAAGGCGCACGACCCAGAGTCCTCTAACTGACAAATGAGATTAAATCTGTATGCCTCCACATGGCTTGTCTGGGCCTGTCATCATAGACAGCTAAATGGCGGGGTATTTAGAGGGTGGAGCATGTGATCACAGGCTGCTTCAAACTTTGCAGCACATCCCCCCACCATCTCAGTCTATAGCAGGAAGTGGTTTCACTTCCTTTCTGTGTCGGTTGGTTGATGAATATGAGAACTGGCTGCTTCTCTTTTATTCAAGTTTCTTGTTAAACAACAAATAGAGAGTTCAGATAAAGCTACAGTCAGCTCAGCACTGTAATATAATCCACTGATTGTGACTGACTCCTCTGAGTCTGTAGCTGTGGGCAACAAAACATAATGAGCTCTCAAATGACACAAAAAACCCCTCTGTGTCATTCTGCCCACAGCGTAACAGTCATCACTTTAAATAAAATGTTCCACTGTGACGAATTTCCAGACCAAGAAAAAGAAGATGATTAAAAGTCCCAACTAGAACTGGAGAACCCGACAGAGTCCAACACTGAGAACCATCCTGAATTATTAAATGACTGATTCATTATTAATGACATCAGCTGCTGCGTCTGATGTCCATTAACACAGCAGCTGTTTCCTGTTGTTCATCTGAGTGCAGCTGCACGCACTTTATATTCCACTGATGGTCTCAGAGCTCTGTCACACAGCAGCTGCATGTAGACTCCTCCACCACCATTATCATCATCATCATCATCATCACTGTGAACTACACACACTGATCTTCTGACTTCGTTCTGTATTAAAGGTACAGTCACAGTGTGGAGGGACGGAGTCGTCTCGTCTTTAAAGGCCCTGACACACCAGCAGCCAATGTCGGTGAGCATCTGTCGCCCTAGTTTTAGCGCTGTGTCCCGCACCGTTGGCACTACTCGGACCACTGTCGGCAGCTTTTCGGCCGATTGAGCATGTTGAATCGGCGGCGGAGCTTGTCGGTGTGAGAGATCCCTCTGATTGGCTGTTCAGGTTTTATTTCCTCGCCCCTGTAGCGAGTGAATCTGCCTGTAGTGAAACCGGGGCTAACCGGTGCTTCCTCCTCAGGCTCCACTTCACTCAGCTGCCCCACAGACCCGCTGCTTCTTCACACTTTAACCTGAATAACAAACCGGAGCTAGCTGGGAGCGGCTAGCGGAGCGTTAGCCGCAGCATGACCGGAGGGAAGCACAGCCAGTTAGCCTCCGCTAGTCTCTGAGCTAGCCCCGGCTCTCCGTTTGGATCCAACCGGAGCACCGAGCCCTGGTTTGTTATTCAGGTTAAAGTGGGAAGAAGCAGCGGGTTTATC